ATAAATATACTATATTTGGTAATTCGATCAGCATGATGTCTAGACATCATGTCGGTTGATGTCTTTCACATCATGTTAAATAATGTACAAACATCATCCTACATATATCAAACATGATGTCTAGACATACCATCATGATGTCTAAACATTATATTTCATGATGTTTGGACATCAACCTTTTGTCAAGGACGGCTTTCCATAGATATCCAGACATCATGTTGGATAATGTCTAGAGCATCATGTCAAATATATGTAGAATAATGTTCAGTTTGTACATCATTCAACGTGATGCTCAAGCATCAACCGACATGATGTCTTAGACATCATATTACCAAATATAGTAAATTTTATTTTGTGTACCTTATAAATATACTATATTTGGTAATTTAATCAGCATGATGTCTAGACATCATGTCGGTTGATGTCTTTCACATCATGTTAAATAATGTACAAACATCATCCTACATATATCAAAAATGATGTCTAGACATACCATCATGATGTCTAAACATTATATTTCATGATGTTTGAACATCAACCTTTTGTCAAGGACGGCTTTCCATATGTATCAGAATAACTGAAAATCAATTTTGGCAATTTTGATGCTCTTTTACAATTTTGCACGCAATATAGCATTTTCTTAGTTTCATGTTAAACTTTCATATTACGTCAGGTGTGGGACAAAATATTTGAGGTTTACAATATTTTTTTTTACTTCAATTTTAAATCTTCATTTTTGTATTTTTAATTACTTTAATAATATTTTTTTTTTTTGCTAAATCATGTAATTAATTATAATAAATAGTTCCATAACGAATTTGAAATTTTTATGTTTGGATTGACACATTAACACAATCTTTCAATTAAAACTTTATTCGGTAACTAATAACGACAGAAGAATGTAAAGTTGTGCTTGTCCGCTATACACTTTTGTATGTATTTTTCTAAATATTTGGAAAAAAAATATTAAATATTACTTACATTCTTACCATTTTTTCAAAGGATGTTAAAAGATGAGAAATTACGATACGAAACAATTTATGATGCACCGATAATTATTTTTTAATCGACGAGCCGAATTTTTCTCAGGATTAATTTTTTTTTTTTGGCGTAAATGAGCTGTCAAAATGAAAGAATTAATTATAATAATTATTTATTAAAAGACGCCTTGTTGAATTAGTAATTTTTTGAAAGTAACTATTCAGCCAATATCAAATTAACCTAAAATGGTTAATTTGGCTTAATCTGATAAGAGGAATTTTATCTCATCGAGATTACGGGCCGATAGATTACTACGTTTACTTCAGTTCAAATTTCGGCACTATATTAGAGTTTGAGTTACAAACATAATTAAAAATTCATTATGGAATATTGACAATGAATGATTTTGTGCTTTTATTTGTGTTAAAATTTGTTAGGATATTTTCGTATAAATATGTACCGGAATTTAAAGTCCGATGCTCCAGAATTTATGTAAATTATTATATTTAAAAAAAAATAATAAAGAGATAAGATATCTATCTTTGTAAACTTAATTAATTATACTAATTCGTACATCAATAGGAGAAGATTTAATCTCTATTTTTAGCGTTTCAATATAATAAAACTTAATTGTACCTTATACCATATACTAAATAAATAATGGAAGCTTAATATTAACTAAAAAAGAAAGTTCAACAAGTCAGAAATAATTTAATAAATTTTAGAAAGAATCTTCTCCGTATCCTATTTGCAAACCATTTTTACTATAATAAAATTGTTAATAGATATGCAATTTCAACCTTATTTATTCTGTCAAAACTTTCAAACATCGGATTTTGTTATGGGTAATTGAAGTCCATAATTTTCAGAGATTTTAAACTCCAATTTGTGTTTGCGAGGCTCTTAGTTTTAGTGGTATCATCGCATGTAAAGTAGTCATATTATTGTTATTGCATGAATTTATTTCTTATTTTAAATAAAAGATATTTTTACCTTGTTACCCAAATTTGCAAATTGAAATAAAAAAATTAGGTGATCTAGAACTTACTTATTTAGTACTGATCACCGTAATTAATAATATTATATTTTTTAAATTAAATACAATAGTTCGTCCGTTCTTGAATTAATAAATTAGATATCAAAATTATACCTCGTATAGATGTAGTAGGAAAGTAAAATTTTCGGTATATCGAGTTTTTAAAAAACATTTCCAAGAGATCAACATTATTAACGAATTTAATAATTAATAGTTTATGCCTTTTCTTAAGATTTAAATAATCGTACTTTATTTTTTATAAAAAATAATAAAATTGTCTCCTAGAAAATTTTTCGTAACGAAATTAATCAAGAATCATAAATCAGTATTTCAATGTTATAAAAAAATTTTTTGAAAGAATAATTTCATGGGATTTATCTACTGGCCTAATAAACATATAAGGTAAAAAGATACTATATTTTTAATTCTACAATCTTTTTATATAACAGCTATTAAGCAATATATATATAGCCAATAAATATGGGGTCAGAAATCTTCAGTGCTTGCTTTCCGATAGGTTTGAACTAGTATACTTCGTTTTACACCCTTTTTAGGGTAATAATTTATTGGATATAATGATAGTATTAAGTTGAATTTCACATGCATACTACAGTTACTATCTCACAATGGATTGTATGGCGAATGCTATACTTAAAAAAAATGGTTCCTTTATTTTTTTGCCGATTATAGACTCAAATCTTATTATTCAAAATTTTCCATATTAGTAATAATGTAGTAACACGACGATCTTAACGACAAGCAATATTGTGCAAAAATTGCTTTAGATAATAAAATGAAATATTTAACTAGTATTGTACGTTACACGACGATCTATCCAAAATTAATTGTAAGACAGCGTGTTATTTAGTTTTTAGCTAATACTAGTTAAAATTGTTAAAACCTATGTTTAAAGTTAAAATTAACTTTTGTGTACAAATTCCAAAATTGCTTCCATTATAGAATAAATGAAAAGTCTCTCGTCATTACGAAAAAGAGTTTACTGTACTTATTGTAGATCTTGTTTTAATTATATTCATATCAGTTAAATCGGCATCACTAAGCATAACAATTCATCAACGTTCATGATTTATACTTGGTGACCAATTCTAAATTCATAAATAAGATGATACAATCTTCCTAATATATTTAAAAAACTTCCTATTAATTGAATAAACTACGGTTACGCTAGATTTTATTTGATCATGTAGAACACACATAAAAAAATACAGAAGTTTTAATCTTGATATTTCCATTCAATTTCAAAAATATTTTTTTTTTATCGTTCCATAATCATATCATAATCATATCTATCTAATTACATTAACGTTTCAATAATTATTTTTTGACTCAATACAATATTGTTATATTTGTATTGTTCATCATATTAAACAAATCGGAAAAAAAGAAATAAATAAAAACTGATTGAAATTAACATTAATAATTTCCAAATGCGGCAATCATGACCAAAACCAATAAATACCAATCAAAAGACATTTCATGTGGGGAGGGATTTGTTGCATGGGCTATTATTCAAGTTGAAACCTTTTAAGTTCTCCTTGATAAACCTTATCCATTATCAATATTATCAAAAAAGAATTTTTAAATTTTATTTATTTATTTTTTTTTTAAAAAAAAAAATGAAAAAATGAATGAAATATATTATATAAATAAATATATACGAAAATCATTCTGCAAAGTGATAAAACAATGATTATTTATCCACCTGATCATCTATTTTAATATTACCGGGAGATTGTCCGACTCCTTAAAAATAGCCATTTCTGGTTAGTACTTTTATAATATGTATAAATAATGCCCCTTTTGAAAGCTTCCATTTATAAGATCTTTCTTTCAGTTTAAAGTATAAAAAGCCTTCAAATTTCCTTGATAAATTTTTAAGGAATACTCTTAAAATTACAATTAAGTTATAATTTCTTTTTCGGGTTAAAGAAATATTTATTTGTAAGTTAAGGTTTAAAAATTATTGCTAATTTAATTGATTTATAAAAAATAGATTTCTTTAATAATTTTTTTTTTTTTTTTAAAGTCAAATAAGTGACGATCCAATTAATAAAGAATTTTAAGAAGAAAATAAATACTACGGTTTGTGAAGGTCTTTATTGTTAGCGGTATGAGTTTGTAATAGACAGAACCATGAATTCATGGTTATAAATAATTCGAACCATATTTTTATAATGCAGGTCATATTTAATAATTCAGGGTCATATCTCAAGATGGAAGAGGACAGTTATCAAGGACATAAGTTTATTCCAAAAGAGTTAAAGGACTGTCCCGAATGCGGGAAACCTAGAATCTCTTTCGGATGGTGCAAGGATTGTGAAACTAATTCCATGAAGGAAAACTTTCTTTATTGGACATCTGAGAATAAAGAAATTGATGAATTAATTCGTCATACTCAACTTAATGCCTCACAAACTTGCGATTATTTGGAGTGGATCCCGTTCGAGAAATTTGAAATGGTAAAATACATTGGTAGTGGTGGATTTGGTAGTGTCTATTCAGCACTTTGGATGGAAGGACCAAGATGGAATTGGGATGATGGTGCGCAAGAGTGGGCTCGAGCTGGCCCTATGACTGTTGCTTTGAAACGTCTTGAAAATTCACAGAAAATTTCGAGTTCTTTCATTAATCAGGTAATAATATTAATATTAATATTAATCATTGTTTCGGTAAAATTATTTTCCGATCTTTAGTAACGTTGTATATCCATCTATTACATCTATGAAGATTTAAAGTTGTACTAGTTGTACTAATAATTTTTTCATAATGATGATAATCATTTATTTATAGATTAAAACGTATCACAAATGCTTGCAATCGGCATCGTTGGCTGAGACATTTGGAATTACAAAGGATCCAACATCTAATTATATGATAGTTATGAAGTATTACGAAAATGGTAACTTATATCAATATCTAGACCGTTCTAATGGAATTCTTTCCTGGAGAGATATGATTGATATGTTGTGGGGAATAGCTGGAGGTCTTGAAAGAATCCATGCTGAAGGTAAAGTTCATAAGAATCTTCACGGAGGAAATTTACTTATTGAGGACGAAAAAATTTCAACTGACGCACGTATTGGAGATGTGGGCCTTTATGGACCAAGCTATAATATTGAAAATATTAAAAATGAAAATCCCAATCAAATTTATGGGGTTTTGCCATACGTTGCACCGGAAGTTTTACGTGGTAAGAATTACAGTACAGCTTCCGACATATTTTCATTTGGTATTATCATGAATACTCTTGCAACTGGGCAAAGACCTTGGTATAATAGAGCACACGACTATAATTTGGCAAATGATATATGTAACGGTTTAAGACCTGCAATCCCAGATGATACACCAAAATTTTATGCAGATTTAATGGAACAATGTTGGGATGATGAACCAGAAAACCGTCCGACTGCATCTTATTTATATAAAAAACTAAATTGGATCAATTTAATTCGAGATAATCCAAATCCATTCGATGATAATTATTATATTTCTGAAGAAAAAAGATTTAAAATAGCTTCTCAATTGCCTACAATATACACTCATCCGGAAATACATCCCGAAGCATATTATACAAGTAGGCTTTTGTATTTTCCTGAATTATCAAAATGATCATTAAAAAAATTCAACCGATTATTTATAGATAATTATTATTTATATTTTTGTTTAGTTAATAGAATTTAAATTATTCATCATTCCTTTGACACATTTTTTTTCGTTAATAATAAATATTTTATTATTTGATTTAACTTATAGAAAAGGGAAATAAATAATTATTAAAATTATTGAAAAATAAATGGTTCATTTAATTACGAAAAAAAAATGATAAAAACTAAAAAAAAATGAATGTTGCCGTGCGAGAAAAGCTGCCACCTTTTCCACGACAAGTGACGTTAAATTAATGTTAAATAAAATTAAGAACTTTATTAAATAAAATGCATTGCTTGGTTTATTATTACATAAAATTATTCAAACACGAATTTTGGGTTATAAAATATAATTTTTATTGGGTTAAAATTATTACATTGTGAAAATTAATTATAATATTAAGATTAATTAATGTAAGAATAACTTTGTAAGAACCATCTCCAAAAGTTACTCCTTATATAACTAATTTAAGGGTACTTTGTTTTAGGGTTATTAATTTATAATGTTTCACTATAATGTTACATCATAATTATTATTATTAATGTTTATCACCATGCGGTTTCATAACGAAATGATCTACATCACATGATCATTAATTATTCCCAATATTGCGTCACATATTACGAGGTGGGTTAATATTGTTATTACCTAAATTATTGACATATCTAAAATTATGACACTACAACGCAATCTAAAACTTTAAAATTATGACTTCATTTTATTTTTTAATAAAAAAGTTTATTTTGTCTTTAATAAAAAAAAGTTTCATTATTCTTAATAAAAAAAAAGATTTCTTGTTGATTTGTAACGTTCAATTTTTTATTTTGATTTGTACTCGGTGTGCTCCTTTATCTGTTATTGGCAGAATCATTTTGTTATTTTTAGGGCGTTTTCCAAGTAATACAAATACCAAAAAAAGGATTTTATTAAAACTTAGAGATCATTTAATAAAATTTCTTTTTCGGGTTTTAATATGCGCAACAATATTTATTTGATAGTAACTAATTAATTACAATTGCTTAATTTAAAAAGTTGAAAAAATTTTATTTTGGTTAAATATCATAATTGGCTTAATTCACTTTTGAGCACTGATGATGAGTAAAAACGCCCATTATTTCTGGTGATGTCTAGGCTTTACATTTGGTCACCAGTATAATGAAGATGGTTGAACTTTCTAGACCATTTGTATAATATAATATACATAATGTGACTGTAGATGACCTTGGTTTATTGGAAACATGATAAACCCATAGCATAGTATGCCCCTGTCTTCCAGCTGGTCAGCCATAGCATCCCTCTGAGTTTGCCGATTGGTGTTTGAGGTCATAGCTCTAGTTAGGTTCTTCCATATTTTAAGGTGTTTCTCTTCTTTTTCTGTTCTTTTCTTTCTCCTATGTGTTTAAAAGATAATTTTTTTTAAATCTTATCCTGGTGGAGAGCATGTCTATGCTTTGACTAGTTCGATTCTAGTTTAAGATTTTTTGATTTTCTTTGAAAAACATTTACATCAGGAAATTTTTTATGTGTAGAAAATATGCAAAATTTCGTGCATGAATGCACGAAAAAACTGATTTGCACACCCTGAAAATGCACATTATTTGCATATTTAATATATATAATATGTATATTGAGTAATTTTCTATGTGATATATTGTACAAAAAATTACATATATAATATTGTTAACTATATTGCATAAATTTTGAGAAATTTAAGTATTTGTGCAATATTGAATACCCTAAAAATTTAGTGATGTAGGATTCAATTTAAATCCACAAAAAAATATTTATATCATTCCCAGAATAATTGTACAGTTATTTTTAATTACAATATATTTGATTATTGAACCTTGAACACATTCAGTTACGATCCTTAGACGTCTCCATTTACTTTTGTTATAGATAAAGTAAAGATCAGGTTTAATCAAATTGATTGAAACAATCTCTGCAACAATTCCATATACCATGCCATAGAACTCATTATTATTCCTCTGGTTAAGATTTATTATAAGCGAATTAATTTGAACATTCATTACTGCAATACTACTATAATTTATCGTGGATGCTTTCCTAGCAATTGCATTATGAGTTTTAAAAGTCCTATTTTGTATCTTTAAAAAAAATAGGTCGGTAATAAATTTCCTTTTTGTCTAAATTTTTGATCTATAATATTATTTTATTTAAATCAATTCCTTCTCTTTTTATTTTCTTTATATCTGGGTTTTCTAATAACTTCTTCAACATTTCTGCACAAGTTTCTAAGTTGATCAATGGATTCGGGCTCAAAGATTTCTTCAATTCTTCCTCCTTTATACTTTCGAGACTCCCTAAAAAATGACAAATATTTCTTTCTAATCCTTCAATTCTTTTTTCTCTTTCTTTATTCCTTTTAATTTCTCTATCAACTTTCTTTGGTAATTCTTCTACTGCTTCTCGAGCTTTTTCTAAATTTTTTCTATCTCTCTCAATTTCTTTTTGTAAATTCTCATGATTCTTTTTTTCTGCTTTAATATTCTGTAAATATGCATGTATTTCTCGAACAATTTCTCTTGCAGTACTCATTTCAATTTTTCTTAAAAAATTAAATTAATAATTTTCAATATCTATCTTTTTTATATCCCTTTTTTCGCAAATATTATTCTGGTCTATTCCTTATAATTTTCCAATTCTAACATTTCTATTTCCTATCTATTTTATATTTATTATTTTCTGACTCAAAATGAGTCATATATTTTATTTTCACAAAAATGAGTTAATTCAATCTGATAATCAGTATTCGTTATTTGTTCTTCTCTTATCACAAATTGATAATCTATTTTTCTAGTAAAATTATTTCCTATCCATGTTTCACAATCCTTAATAAATGCTTATCAATCTTAGATTTTACAATATAAAATCGCTAATGGGGTTCTTTGTACTATTGACGTAATTGTACAACTATTAAACACTAAAATTAACCGTTTATCTTCAAAATATTTACGTCATTCTTAAATTTGTAAATGTATCAATATGATAGTCAAAAATTAAAGTCTTAACTGCTAAATAGACATACAATATGCTTGGACGAGACGAACTGATAAACATTAATTAATTTATATACTGATAATAAGAAATGATTGGAAATTTTATTTTGATAAAATTATTAGAGCGTATTAAAAGATGAATCTAGGATCTAGGATTAAATAAGATTTTGATTATTATGAGAAACTTATTTGTTTATTTAGTTTCTATTTAAATTCAAAAAAGTTTTAATAGTCCCCTAATCCTAATTTCACCTGGTCACTGACTCATGGATGATACAAAGAAAATTATTCTTATCTGTTATACATAAATGAGAAACAGTGACTGGGAAAATTCCACTGCTTTCTGAAAAAATGATTGACATACACTATATCTTTATATGACTAGGTCATTTGTCATTTGACCCAAATGACATGTGACCAGTTTGAGTCATTTGGGCGTAACCTGAAAAAATGTCACGAAAAATCACGTGACATTTCATTGCCGTCATGGTCTTTGAATTCTATGGGAGAGGGGATGCTGTGCATCATGTGTACGATATTAACGTACGCACTAACCGGAGTTAAGTTTAACGCTATCACGTGCATAACTCCTAAACTCTCGTAAAATTGAGAAGCAAATGATATTTAGTTATATATATACACACACTATATATATATTTGCTAAAATCAAGCTAGTTTGGTTAACAAAATTCTTTATTAATTAATATTCTGTCATATTTAATTCAACATGGAAAAATAGACTTTAAGACATAGTAAATGATAATCTTCCTACAATAATTTAGCGTTTTCCGGAAAAATCCTTTATAAATAAAATCAATTTGTTAGAAATAATAATAACAGCATATATTAACCTTTTTAATTAATGGTCATGTTTGATAATTCAGGAAAATACAAAAGCCTACTTGTATAATATGCTTGTGGATGTATTTTCAAATGATGAGAATGTACTATTTTACATCTTTTCTTTTCATCATAATAATCATAATCACAAAGCAAATTGTTTCGACTTAATGTTTTACATATATGAGATGCAGTTGGTCGTTTATCTGGTTCATCATCCCAACATTGTTCCATTAAATCTGCATAAAATTTTGGTGTATCATCTGAGATTGCAGGTCTTAAACCGTTACATACATCTTTTGCCAAATTATAGTCGTGTGCTCTATTATACCAAGGCCTTTGCCCAGTTGCAAGAGTATTCATGTTAATACCAAATGAAAATATGTCGGAAGCGGTACTGTAATTTTTACCACGTAAAACTTCCGGTGCAACGTATGGCAAAACCCCATAAATTTTATTGGGATTTTCATTTTTAATAATATAGCTTGGTCCATAAAGGCCCACATCTCCAATACGTGCGTCAGTTGAGATTTTATCATCCTCAATAAGTAAATTTCCTCCGTGAAGATTTTTATGAATTTCTCCTTCAATATGAATTCTTTCAAGACCTCTAGCGAATCCCTGTAATATACCTATTATATCTTTCCAAGAAAGAATCCCATTATGGCGATCAAGGTATTGGTATAAGTTGCCGCTTTCGTAGTACTTCATAACGATCATATAATTAGACGTTGGATCTTTCGTAATTCCAAATGTTTCAGCTAACAAGTCTGATTGTAAGCACTTGTGATGTGTTTTAACCTGAAGTGAAGAAAATAAAATTAAATTGTATACTTTTTATAGAAAAAAAAATTACAGTTCTTTTTACCAACAAGGCAATGATCATCGTATAGTTATATATATTTTTTATTATTAGCATTCATTGTTATGGTCGGTATGATTCTTTTTGAATTGTTAAACAAGAAAATAAATAATACCTGATCAATATAAGAGCTTGAGATGTTTAATGAATTGTTCAGACGTTTTAAACCAACATAAGTGGGTCCAGCTCGAGTCCATTCTTGCGCATCATCATCCCAATTCCATCTAGGCCCTTCCAACCAAAGTGCAGAATAGACACTACTAAATCCACCATTGTCAATATATTTGACCATTTCAAATTTCTCGAACGGGATCCATTCCAAATAATCACAAGTTTGAGAAGCATTTAGTTGAGTATGATGAATTAATTCATCAATCTTTTTATTTTCAGATGTCCAATAAAGAAAGTTTTCCTTCATGGAATTAGTTTCACAATCCTTACACCATCCAAATGAAATTCTGGGCTTTCCGCATTCCGGACAATCTTTTAATTCCCTTGGGATACCTTGATAATTGTACTCTTCCATTATATCTATAAATTCCATTATATCTGTAATCTTATTATAATATTATAAAATATTGTTAATTATTTTATATGATTTTATCTTGCAAAAAAAAAAAATTCTCTTATCACAAAAAGAATTATGTGTAGATACAATTTTTTTTTTTGTAATTTTAGAAATACATAAAAAAAACCAAGTCTTTTATACTTTTCAAAGTCTACTTTTCAAAGTCTAATAAGTATAAAAGCCCTATAATGATACTTTTAAGGAAAATTAAATTCGGTACTCACTCATAATAAAAAATGGTTAAATCATGCAATTGCACATGTAATATCATGCCTTCAAAGTAGCCAATTCCTTTGTCATTTTTACTGAACTGGATAGTAGGCTAGAGATTAATATGTATATTATAAGCTAGTTTGATTAATTTTAGATTCTGAAAAATTAATTATTAACCAATAAATTTCTATTAATAGTTAAAATTTTTTGAAAATATGACATAATATCGCCCTATTAATTTTACGGTTAATGTTTTTTTTCTCCGAGTTATTGTAATAATAATTATATTGAGATTTTTCATGTATGACAATCATGTGATCAGACGAGTTCTTTCAACGATTTCCAAAAAAATGAATAATACTAATACGTATGTATACATTAATCGGAAAACATCTTTGATTGGAATTCATGGTAAAATGGTCTCCTATCTCTTTTTTGTCAGTTTTTGGTATATACAGTACATTGAGACAAAAATAAAAAAAAAATTTAATATTATTATTCGTCAGTATCGTCGATCGATAAAGGTCCAATCTAGGCTTGACCAAAATCAAATAAATAAATACCAATTCGTTTAAAATATAGAAACAAAGTATGTAAATTTAACTAAGATTATCATAGACTAAATACAGTAAATAGTACATGATACAATTGTTGCTTGTTTTATGATTTAAGAAAATGATTACTATATTTAAAATATTTACACCCTTTAATGTATTTTTTCGGACGTTTTTCCGATTCATTGTCCCAATATTGTCGTATTACCATTCCGTCTGCATAAAATTTTGTGTATCCTTCGGAATTTCAAGTCTATTACCATCACAAATATTTTTTTTGCTAAATTACTAATATCGTGTGCAAACGAGATAAAAGATTTTTTATAGAGAGATATATTACCTTTGGTAGATATTTATGAAAGGTATGAACAAATTTAAATTTATAAAAGACATATTAAATATTTAATAAATAGCTCATTTCAAAGTTGAAAATAGTAAATCCAATAGGAAAAATCGTTTTTTTTTTTTTGTAATACTTTTTTATTTTAAAAAAATAAGAAAAATTGGATGATTTTGGCTTTTGTTCATTATTTCGACATTATAGCATTAAACATCTGGGATTTTAAGTCTTTCATAATCACAAAATATCTTTCAAAATTAATATTATTATGTGCTCCATTATATATTTATATAGCATCTTACATTTTTAAATCATGAAAGTTTTTTTGTCCAATTGACAGAATGTATTTGCGTGACAATTAGTTCGGAATGAATATTTTTTAACCCCTATGGAGGCGTAAAAAGAACGGAAAAGTTTTTCCGTACAATAAATAATAATATACTTTGGTGGCCAATCCGGCCATTGTTTATTATTCACAAATTTTGTGTACAGTAGAATAATAAATAATTGGTAAATCAAAATAATAGTATTAAAAATTCTTCATTTTAAGAGACGATTGATTACTTAGTCTTACATCTGCATTTTTCGCCGAACTCTTAAATTAGAAACATATCGTTAAGCATATACTGTATAAATAATTAATCTGCTACTTTAATATTTATTATTTAGAAAGGTGATTATTTAATATATGGATATAAACTTAATTTTGCAAATATTATGATTAAACTAAAATTTATCGTATACAAATATCATACATTATTTAACTAAAATGAAAAAAAAAATTTATATATGTACAGTATTATAAAAATTTTAAAATTTTTTGAAATCTCATGATCCAAAAAAGGATTAGGCCTCCCACATTTTTTTTTTAGGATAACATTTATTCCTTGATGATTCTTTCCATTTAGAGACAAACCCAGCATTCAATGAATATTTTGTTGCACAAACTATATCTTATTCTACAAATAAGTATTTCATTAACCAGAAAAAGAAATTTTACGTACGGTATCACTTTACTAAATTGATTGTTTTAAATGATCTGTTTTTCTCAAGTACTACATAGAAAACACTTTAAAAATGATTCTGCCAATAAAGGAGCAGATCAAAAATAATGAAACTTTTTTATTTAAGACAAAATAAACCTTTTTTATTAAAAAATAAAATGAAACTTTTTTATAAAAATATCAGGCTTCGTTATTAATGAGTCAATATCGCAGATAAAAGTTGGAATTTTAAAGTTTTAGAATTACGTTCATAAAAAAATTTTGAAACAATGTTTCAGAAAATTTTATTATTTGATTTAATTTATAAAAAAAAGTGAAATAAATAATTATTAAATTTATTAAAAATAAATAACAAATGAAGAAAAAATGAGAAGAGAAAACGAAGAGAAAACATTTGTAATTTAAATTCTATTAACCAAATAAAAATTAAATAATAAATTATCTATAAATAATCGGTTGAATCTTTTTGATTAATAATTATATTTGATAATTTAATATAAAAGTCTACTTGTATAATATGCTTCAGGATGAATTTTCGGCAATTGTGATATCATTTCCATCTTTTCTCTTCAACAACAGAACTTTCATCTGAAATTTGAGAAGCTTGGATCGTCGCAAATTAAAGTGATCCATTCACCCAATTTTTCATTTAAATAAGATGCAGTCGGACGTTTTTCTCCCAACATTGTTTTGTGATACGTTTTAATCTATAAATAAATGATTATCACCATTATGCAAAAATTATTAGTACAACTTTATCATAGATACAACAGATGGATGCACAGATAAGGTACAACGTTACTAAAGATCGGAAAATAATTTTACCGAAACAGTGATTATTAATATTAATATTATTACCTGATTAAAAAAAAGAACTCGAAATTTTCTGTGAATTATCAAGACGTTTCAAAGCAACAATCATAGGACCAGTTCGAGCCCACTCTTGCGCACCATCATCCCAATTCCACCTTGGCCCCTCCATCCAAAGTGCAGAATGAACACTACTAAATCCACCATTACAATGTATTTGACAATTTCAAATTACTCGAATTCCATTATAAAAGAAAACAGCCCAATTTTTCATTTTAAAACAATTTTGTATTCTTGGTAATATAGATGCAAAAAAGAAAAAATAATTAATTTTATTAAAAGAATAATTCAACATTTAAATACAGTAAAAAAGAGAAGAATAATGATATTAATAATTTGGAAATCCAAAAATAATTCTACAATTAACGATTAGTTAATAAAGAAATAATGTTCATCTATGAATAATGTGTTATGTTTGAAACTCGGGAAAATACAAAGGTCTACTTGTAAAATGTGCTTCGGGATGTATTTCCGGGTGAGTGTATATTTTAAGCAATTGAGAAGCCATTTTAAATCTTTTTTCTTCAGAAATGTAATAATTATCATCAAATGGATTCGGATTATCTCGAATTAAATTAATCCAATTTAATTTTTTGTATAGGTAAGATGCAGTTGGACGGTTTCCTGGTTCATTATCCCAGCATTGTTGCATTAATTCTGCATAAATTTTTGGTGTATCGTCTGGAATTTCAAGTCTTTCACCATCGCAAATGCTTTTTGCTAAATAATGATCATGCGCTCTATCATACCAAGGTCTCTTTCCATTTGCAAGAATATTCATAATAATACCAAATGAATATATGTCAGAAGCAGGAGAATAATTTTCACCACGTAAGACCTCCGGCGCAATATATGGCAAAACTCCATATACCTGACCTGAATTCTTATTTTCATGATAATAACATGGTCCATAAAGACCCACATCGCTAATACAAGCGTCTGTTGAGATTTCTTCATCCTCAATGAGTACATTTCCTCCGTGAAGATTTCTATGAATTTTTCCTTCAATATGGATTCTTTCAAGACCTCTAGCAACTCCCTGTAATATATCTATCATATCCCGCCAAGAAAGGATTCCATTAGAACGGTCTAGATATTGATATAAGTTACCATTTTCGTAATACTTCATAACTATCATGTAGTTAGATGTTGGATCCTTTGTAATTCCAAATGTTTCAGCCAATGGAGCCGATTGTAAGCATTTGTGATACGTTTTAATCTATAAATAAATGAATATTGTCATTATTCCAAGTATCGGAAAATAATTTTACCGAAACAGTGATTAATATTAATATTATTATTATTACCTGATTAATGAAAGAACTCGAAATTTTCTGTGAATTATCAAGACGTTTCAAAGCAACAGTCATAGGACCAGCTCGAGCCCACTCTTGCGCACCATCATCCCAATTCCATCTTGGTCCTTCCATCCAAAGTGCTGAATAGACACTACCAAATCCACCACTACCAATGTATTTTACCATTTCAAATTTCTCAAACGGGATCCACTCCAAATAATCGCAAGTTTGAGAGGCATTAAGTTGAGTATGGCGGATTAATTCATCAATTTCTTTATTCTCAGATGTCCAATAAAGAAAGTTTTGCTTCATGGAATTAGTTTCACAATCCTTGCACCAACCAAAAGAGATTCTAGGTTTCCCGCACTCTGGACAGTCCTTCAACTCTTTCGGAATAAACTTACTATGTCCTTGCTCTTCCATCTTGAGATATGGCCCTGTATTATAAAAATATTTGTTTGCAAGTTTTAAAATGTTTTCTTACTATATTTATATATAATTATTTAGATAAATCAAAAAAAAATTAAAAAAATTATCTTTAAAAAAAAATATTCTAATAAATATATTAAAATTAATAATAAATTTTGAATTTTTTCTTACAAGAAGTTCTTTTAGGCCGAAAAGAAATTGAAATAGATATAAATTGTTTGTAATTTAAGATATTCTTTAAAAAAATTTATCAAGAATTTATACTTATTAGTAAATATTCTTTTAGGCCGAAAAGAAATTATAAATTGTTTGTAATTTTAAGGTACTCTTTAAAAAATTTATCAAGAATTTTGTATCTTTTTATACTTATCAAAATGCTTCAGTACTATTTTATAATAAATGAAACTTTGTTTATAAAAGTATTAAATTTATTAAGCACTAACTAAAAAGGGATAAAGCAAGATTTTCCGAAACGCAAAGCTTATTTGTTACCATACCGGCCATATCGGAGAAAAAAACTCTTTTTTTTTTAACAAAGTTATTATATTTATTTAGAAATAAGAAAAAGGGAAGATTTACATTATATAACATTCAGTAAAGAACACGATCGATAATAGAAAAAACTCTAAGCTTTAATTTAGTTGTTGATTATAATTAAGATATACAAGATATACAATAATATAATTAGAATAGTAATGATCTAGCATGTGCATATATGTAATGTGATGTAATGTGTAACCCTATAAAATAGACCATCAGGAGTTTAAATAGTGTAAATTTGCGACATATAAAACAACACGTTGAATCACACCTATGACGGATTGATTGACGGGTATATACGAAGCTGCAAATTTGCGAATATTATTTAATAATGAAAATTCTCGCATTTTTTTAATCCATATTTTTTAATAAAATTAATTTCAATTTATTTTACATACCTTGAGAACCGAACCGAATACCTTATCACTAATATACCATAGCTCACGACCTAACCACTATAAATTTTACATATTATATTTTATAAAAATTAGGTTTAAATTACATAAAATCGTGTATTTACACAATTTTTTAAGGTGTAAATTGCCGAAATTTTCTATTTATATAAGATATATATAATTTTTTAAAATACAAAATACTAAGAGTATTTTGACCAATATATTTAAATGTAAATTACTCAAAATTGTGTATTTACACAATTTTTTGAAGTGTAAATTACTTAAAATACCCATTTATGTAAACTCTTGACAATTAAAATTACTGAAACTATGATTTCATGTGTAAACTACATGAAATTGTGTATTCACGCTTTTTTTTTAAAATTGCAAAATACTGAGAATACCTATTTATGTGATTTTATGTAAACTTTTAAAATGAAGATTACTGAAACTATGTTTTAAGGTGTAAATTACACATAATTGAGTATTTACACTCTTTTTTAAGGTGTAGATTTTCGATATTACACATATTTGATAAATCTACGCATATAATCGCACAATTTAATCTCCTGATGACATTTACTGCACGTGAGCACAAATATAAAAATTCTCCGTTGTCATTAAAAAAACACATTTTCATAATTGCACTCACTACTATGTATACCCTCTCTAAATGCACCTTCCTGATTCGGTCCCAAGCTTATATGATCTCTAATTATTTTACCTCTATAAATGCACAGCCTCTCTAAATGCACTATTTTGAAATTATGCATATGCATATGGTCCCAAGAGGTGTGGAATTATGGAGGTCTGACTGTACTGTTTGATGTATGTGATGCATGATGTTTTTAAAAAAATCACGTATGTCAAAAATTTACATATAAAACAGATTTTGTCGTTCTAAGTAAACTTGCAGGGCGGGCGAAAATATATCCCTAAACGTAATTTTGTGAGTTAAAAGTAAGTTTATTAAAGTTTTTTTTTACAAGAAGCACGTTATTACTATATAGTATATAATATAACTTTTTTGTCTAATTGCATGCATCGGTTAACATGATAAATATATAATCTTCTTATTTCTTAATACTAGATCAAGTAATCAACTTAAAATGATATTCTCCCTAGTCACAATAGACATCAGGTTATTGGCAATGCATTTTATTTTTCTCAATGACAACAAACTAAATATATTATTTTAATTAACTGAACATATTTGGTACATTAATAGACACGAACAAAAATAAATAAAAATGAAAACTACCGGTTTATCATGTAATCAACTCTTATTGTTCTAAAACCTGTTATCTAAGTTAGGCATTCGAAATAATTAACTTATTCATGTATGAAGTTAGTTTCGGATATGAACTTGTTTCAATGCTATTTTCAAATTGACTTATAGGTTTATAAGTAACTAAAAATTGATCATCCAATATAACTTAATCTTGTGAACCTTGGTACATTCTGGATATTCTTTTAACTGTTCTAATAAACTCAATTTCTTAATGATTATACTATTGATAAGCGCGTTATAACTGAAAATATTTACGCTTAGGTTAATTAAATGAAATTCCTCATTTGTATTACGTTAAAAACGCCTAAAAATGACGGGAAAACTAACGAGTTTTGGCAAACAAAGGATGGACGGATTTCCATTGTTGATTCCATAGATTTATACGAAAAGTCTAGCTTATGTGTCGCAAAAAGTCTCGTAAAATTAATAATTTTTAAGAGCATATAATATTTAGTTATATATATATACAGTATATACACATCATACATATATATGCTAAAATCAAACTAGTTTGATTAACCATGACTAAACAAATTCTTTATTAATTAATAATATTCTGTCATATTTAATTTAACTTGGGTAGATTTAAATTTATTGAAGAGTAAAATTTCTCATTCAATTAAGTAAAAAAATAAAAAAAGAGGATGAAAAGAAGAAAATAAGAGAAATGTACGGGAAAAAAGGAAAAATCCTTTATGACTTATAACTAAATAGAAAGTTGTGTTAGTTACAAATAAATAATAATAATTACAGTATTAATGATAAACCTATTTGATTAATGATCATGTTTGATAATTCGGAAAAATACAAAAGACTACTTGTATAATATGCTTCTGGATGTATTTTCGGATAAGTATGTATTTTATATCTTTTTTTTTTTATCATGATAATCATAATCACAAAATAAATTGTTCTAACTTAGTCTTTTGTATATAAGAGATACAGTTGGGCGGTTTTCTGGTTCATTTCTCCAACATTGTTGCATTAAAACTGCATAAAATTTTGGTGTATCCTCCGGAATTTCAAGTCTCTTGCCATCACAAATGTTTTTTGCTAAATTAATATCATGTGCTTCATTATACCAAGATCTTTGCCCAGTTGCAAGCAAGAGTATTCATGATAATACCAAATGAAAATATGTCGGAAGCGGTACAAATAAATAATTACAGTATTTATGATAAACCTATTTGATTAATGATCATATTTGATAATTCGGGAAAATACAAAAGCCTACTTGTATAATATGCTTCTGGATGTATTTTCGGATGAGGATGTATTCTATATCTTTTTTTTTCATCATAATAATCATAATCACAAAATAAATTGTTCCAACTTAATCTTTTATATATAAGAGACGCAGTTGGACGATTCTCTGGTTCATTGCTCCAACATTGTTGCATTAAATCTGCATAAAATTCTGGAATATCATCTGGAATTGCAGGTCTTAACCCATTACATATATCTTTTGCCAAACTATAATCGTGTTCTCTATTATACCAAGGTCTCTTTTCAGTTGCAAGAGTATTCATAATAATGCCCAAAGAATAAATGTCAGAAGCAGGTGTATAATTTTCACCACGTAAGACTTCCGGCGCAATATATGGTAAAACTCCATATATCTGACCTGAATTATTATTATTTTCATGATAATACGAGCGTCTGTTGAGATTTTTTCATCCTCAATAAGTAAATTTCCTCCGTGTAGATTCTTATGAACTTTACCTTCAGCATGAATTCTTTCAAGACCTCTAACTATTCCCCACAACATATCAATCATATCTCTCCAAGAAAGGATTCCATTTGAACGATCAAGATATTGATATAAGTTGCCATTTTCATAATATTTCATAACGATCATATAAATGGAAGTTGGGTCTTTTGTAATTCCAAATATTTCGGCTAACGATGCAGATTGTAAACAATTGTGATATGTTTTAATCTAAAGTGGAGAAAATAAAATTAAATTGTATATTTTTTATAGAAACAGATAAAATTATTATAAATGTTAATTTTTTTGTGAAAATTTTCTTTTTTACCAAATGACGAGACGCTAAACAAGGGTATATTATTATTGTTGTTTTTTATTAGCATTCATCGTTACGGCTGGTATGATTCTTTTTGAATTGTTAAACATAAATAATACCTGATCAATGTAAGAGCTTGAGATATTTAACGAGTTGTCCAGACGTCTTAAAGCAACATAAGTGGGTCCAGCTCGAGTCCATTCTTGCGCATCATCATCCCAATTCCATCTAGGTCCTTCCAACCAAAGTGCAGAATAGACACTACTAAATCCACCACTGCCAATATATTTGAGCATTTCAAATTTCTCGAACGGGATCCATTCCAAATAATCACAAGTTTGAGAGGCATTAAGTTGAGTATGGCGAATTAATTCATCAATCTCTTTATTCTCAGATGTCCAATAAAGAAAGTTTTCCTTCATGGAATTAGTTTCACAATCCTTGCACCATCCGAAAGAGATTCTAGGTTTTCCGCATTCGGGACAGTCCTTTAACTCTTTCGGAATAAATTTATGTCCTTGATAGCCGTCCTCTTCCATCATTATATCTGTAAATTCCATTATATCTGTAAACTTACTATAATATGATTATAAAATATTGTTAAATTATTTTATATGATTTAATCTTGCAAAAAAAAAAAAAAATCTCTTATAATAAAAAGAATTATGTGTAGATACTATTTTTTTTTTTTGTAGTTTTAGAAAAATACATCGAAAAAAAAAAGCTGTCTTTTATATGTCTCAG